CAGGAGATTTTGATTCTGCATTATGTCACACAAAATGTTGTGTTCTCAGTCTTTGCATTGAGAACTTCATTACATTCACCACTACACAGACACACTTAAAAGAAACCTTCAGTTTTTCCCAGAGCTAACTTCCCTGACTTCGCTGAAATCTTTCTGGCTCTCTAGTTGCCAGCATAGTTTTTGCGAAAAGGCAGCCCTGATATCGTTGGTTTGCGTGAGTTTTTTTTTAAATCCTGGAAGTATTTGCTTTTCTCTTAAGCCTTTGAAGATGTGATTGGATCAGTATTTTTGAATACATGTAGGGTAGGGTTTCAGACTTTGTAGTCGTGGGAGAAAAGCTTGGGAACATGGCTCCTCTCAAGAAAATAAAAATAAGTGAAATTTTTTTTCATGTTTAGTCTAGCTTTTGTAAACTTGCAGGTCCTCCTTATGGTGCTTGGGTGCCTGAATTGAAAGTATTTGGCTTGCTTTTTAAATCAAGATTAGCTTCTTGAAGCCACCCTCAGTTCTGGCGAACACTGTGATCTGCAGTCTTAGGAAAGGTAGTTAATGATTTTGTGTTTTGTTTCCCAGTGTCTAAAAGAGGTTTAACAATGATCTCACAGAGCTTCTTAGAAAACTAATTCTGTCTGAGATGATAGCATCCTACTATTAATGGCAATTTATGTTATTATTTAATAACATAAAAATTATTTTAAGGTATTTGATGAATTACATTAACGACATCAGTTCTTGGGACCACCAATACTTTTTCACCAAGGGGGCTTAGGGAGAGAAGATAATATTGGCACAGGGCTCTAGAGCAGAGTCTTTTGCAGAAAACAGCATGCCATTTGCGCAGGTATTCAAGGGTAACAGAATTGTGTAACTCTAAAGAGCTGCACAAAGAAAAGTGTGCTGAAATGTATGCAGGGCATACAGGTAAGGAGACTATAATGTGCAGAATCTTAATGAATAATGCGTGATGCTACTTCCAACGTGTGGCTGAATTCCCACGGCCTCTGTGTAAGCACAGGATCACTACGCTCCAGTAGTCTCTGCAATCAGACCCCTGTATGTCTGCAATGCTGAACACTACTGCTTGTGGTCACCCCAATTAATTTTAGGGTTCCTTAGGATCCCTCCGTAAACCACGAAGGGAGAGCTGAGAAGGTGCTGATCGCTTGTCACTGACCCTAGCAGGGAGTGAAGGTAACTGTGCTTGAAAAAGGTGTGAATGTTGGGCCTCTCTGGCACCCATTGCTATAGTGTCCTTTCTCAGTTGTTAATGTCTCTGCAGCCTTTTTCGTCATAATAACCTGCTGGGAGCAAGCATATTGTCAAAATGATGCATATAACTGTACTTGTGTGTGGCTGCCTTCCAGGGAGGCTCTTGTCATCTTTATTGAAATTCACATTATACGGGAGTACTCATCGTCCCCTTTTCAGTCCCATGTGTTTAATATGGGAATTATATCTCCCAAAACACATCTAGTCATATTTTGAGGTTTTTTAAATGCCTGGCAATCTGAAAATTGGAAACTATCAAACAAGCAGTAAAAAGCAATTATGAAATTGAGTCTTCAACTTGCCCCACATAAGCACAACCATCTTTCTTGAATTTCAAATGAACTTTTACTGTTTAGTTGTATTCATTTCCTTATTTTTTTGTGAAAAATTTCAAATAATAATTACAAAATTGGAAATTGGTCTGT